TGAAGTCTCCATTCCACTACCTTACTCTTCCCCACCCCCTTTGCTCTAACAAACCTATGACTTTTGAGTGGAACGAGGAAATGGAGTTGAGCCAGGATAAAACCATTGTCTAGCTCATGAAACAAGTCTGACTAGTAGAATGGTACAGTAGTATTCTCTTTACTGGGACAACCTGGGATGAATTTGCCATCCCACTTAAATAGAAAAACTATTTTTAATCTTTATTTAGCAACTTTTATATTTTAAAAATAGCCTTAGAATTTCCCTACTCTAAAAGTATTATTTAATGGTACAGCATTATTCAAAGGTGGCCACACTGTAACTGGAATTTAGCAGTGGTCATTCCCATTCACTGTTATTGGGCTGAACTGAAACAGACTCCCTGGAAAGTGCCCGGTTTAAGTGAGCATAACATACATTAAATTATATATTTAACAAAAAATCATACATGTAGAAATGCAACAGTGGCTGGATTAACAGCTGTTGAAACGAATTTCCGGATTCTTTTCCATTTGAATTGTGCACCCACAATGATGTATTGAGGTTTTGGTTTGGTTTAAACAAAAGAAAAGAAGTGAGGTGTTCCTCTTCACCAGTTTACAAACTTCTTGCTTAGCAACTATTTCGCTTCCAGATCTCGTAAATTCCTTTTATATCAATTTATGTGCAGGCCTAGATTAAGGCCTAGACTCAATAGGCTGATGCCCAGGGACCCAACTGCTGGAGTCACAGGACAACAGAATCTCAGCCTTCATTACAAAAATTTCCCCCCCACACTTAGACTTCACAGTTGTAAAGAAACTCTTCAAAATATTATCTGAGTCTATCTAAGCCTCTCCTGAGTCTGTAGACAGCTTGAAACAATGGCTGCAATAGGTGTGAACTGCCCCGTTCATCTTAACTGAAAGGTTTGATCCTGGGTAGGGGGGAGAGTGTCTGTCAACAGAACAGGATTGTAGTTGGGAGTTAGGGGAACCCTTGCTGGTGCCATCCTATCATAGTACTTGCTGGATAGATATCAGCAGGACACACACATACACGCTCTTGCCCTCCCTCCCCCCGCCTTTTGCTCTTATAGCTGCGTGCTAAGCTCTCCCTTCACGGAGATAGACCACAGCCCGCCTAAAGACAGAGCATCAGGCTCCAGGGAAGGGCCAGTTTGCCACAAAAAGAGTGGTACCAGTCCCCTGCCAAGCCAGCACCCAGCTCTGGTGTGGATGATCCTGCAACTACCAAATCAAGGAGGGTTTGGGCTCCTTGCAGGACCAGACTATGGACAGTTATAGGGGATGTGTCCAGAGCCCCGAATACACTTAATCTGCCCCTGTCCATATGGGTTTAATTAAGCTATGCGGGTATATACCTGTAGACTTAAGCTGTAAAATCCTATTTGCTCTTGATTCAAAGGGACTACAGTTTTCACCAAGAAAATTTCCTATTGTGCCTGCTCAGTATACAGTTTTCAACCAGTAATCTCCTAAACGAAACCCAATGTGCTGCACAGCGGAGGATGCTAGTCCAAGTTTAAAATTCAGGTCTCTGCCCTGAAGAGTCTGTAATCTAAACAGATAGTTTACAGAAGGAAGAAGAGCAGAAGCTCACAAGTATATGGTCATTTTCATTATTTTAGTTGCGTAATTTTGTTTTTTAAACCATTGCCTGTTTAGTTAACATTTCATGAAGAGAGGTTATATGCCTCTTGTAATAAGTAAGATTTATAGAAGGATTTGAAGGAGGAAGTGGTGAAGACACTGCAATGCAGTGTCAGGGGTCAGACTTTGCTCATATTTTCCAAAGAACTTCACTCAAGACAGACCAAGCATGGAAAACTTGAGCCCAAACAGTTTATACTAGTCAAATATTCACATGAGCCAACAGGGTTTTAATGGAATCATTTTATAACTCAACTATGACAGCCACAACCAAGCTACTGCTTACTACTTCTGAAGCATCATTCATCCAAAGGTATCAAAGAACTTTACAAACATTTATTACATCTGACAATTTGCTTCCGAGGCAGATGATATCCCTGTTTTGCAGATGGGTTAGACAAAAGAAATGGGAATCGAATCTAGCAGCACCAGTATGTGCTCCAGATCACAATGCCTCCGACAGCACACAGTTTGAGACAGCCATCAGGTTATATATGGATAGTTCTTGTATCACTGAATTGCACTTGCAGTCCCAGCTGAACCATATCCAGTTCAAGAGAAGGTCCAATTGCGTCCCTTTGTGCTGAATGATTGTTTTTATGGACACCTATCCATTAAATTACTATCCATTAGATAGTAATTTAAAAGGCTACTGTGAAGAGTTAAAACCCAAACTGACCTCAAATTATTCTGCCCTCTCAAACGTGGAGATGTTTACATAGAACAGACTCATAGGTGTTAAGGTCAGAAGAGAACCATCATGATCATCTAGTCCAACCTCCTACACATTGCAGGCCACAGAACTGCCATCAGTCTTAATTGCAAGATCTACTCAGGACAGGCATTTGTGATTCCAGTCACAGTGAAATAGAGACGACAAAAATTCTCAGTGCTCTTTAGTCATGGAGACCAGGTAAAACAAATGTAGTTTAACAAATGTAATTTCAAGAGCTGTGCTCACATCAGTGTTGGGGTCACTAGGCCTACCTGAGCCAAAGTTCTTCCATGTTTAAACTCTGTCCTTCCATGTTTAACTCTAATCAACCTCAAAAGCCAAGGGCAGGAATTGGAATGTGTAAACAGTCAGTTAGCAATTACGACCTTGCTCATACCAGGTACCAAGCGATAATGATGAGGTTTGCATGTTTCTAGCTGGAGAAGGGGTAATAAACTAAGGGTAAACAGGACCAAATAACTGTTTAGAGGAGTGTTACTAACAAGCTAGATTTATAGCCCTAGAATGATTTAATTGCTTAAATGTATAAACATGCCTTCGGTGGGGAGGGGGAGTAGAGGGAGAGATAGAGGGGGGGTAGTAGAGAGGGGGGGCTTAGTTGTAAAATGTATAAGAAGAGAGAAACTGTTTTTGCTGGTGTGTTTGATTTGAGACTTGCCTGCCTCCTTGCACCACTTTGAGATCTCAAATAATCTTTGATTGTTTCTCCACCCCGGTATGTTTATTGACGCAAAGCACACCGGGCAACGAACCCCACTGTTGCTGTCCTCGGGCCTCTGTGCCGGCAACATCAGCAAGGCACAAGTTTCATTCCTTTTACACCAGAGCAGTAGACACAAACATGTTGTAGAACAGAGGTGAGCAAACTACGGCCCTCAGGCTCATCCTGCCCAGCCCCCGAG